TTCCTACTAGTTGAGGGGAGGGCTGATGTCAGGAGAGGGAGAGGGGCTGAGGAGGCGGTGCTATGGGTGTGGGGGTCAGAGAGAAGGCGGGGAGCAAGGGACAGAAATGACCTCCTTGGCACTAGGCTCACCCTCTACCCCAGCACCAAGGCCCCAGCACTGCCCCAAGGCCCCAACAGCTCCCTCCTGAAGCCTGGTTCACACCACACAGATTCTGCCTGGCCCCCCACTGTCCGTCTGCCCCCATTGCCCACCTCCAACCCCTGCCCCTCAGGCACCAGCCTACATATGTGTCCACTTTTATTTAAATAAACTTGTGTGGTAAAAAGTCTATGGTATGTCTCCCTTGACTGAACCCCAGCTGAGAGTCAGGGTTGGTCACTTCTGTCCTTTCCTGCTCCAGAGGGGATGGCTATACAGGAGAGCCTTGCTGCCATCAGAAGCCACTAGCACTAGACTTGCCTAGACCTAACTCAACCCTGGTGACAAGAGTCTAAGGGAAGGCAAAGGAGCCCACTTCCTGAGGAGAAACGGAGTCAAGACCTGTGACGGTCAGTGGCAGCCTGGAAAGTAGCTGTGGGGCTATGGAGTGCCTGGTGGAGAGTGCTCAGTTCCAGTGCCTTTGGGCCAGTTGGACTGTATGATGATCCCCACCCATTGTCACAGCAGCATTGCAGCTGGGGACAAGGACTCACATGACAGACTGGGAGGGTTCAGAGAACAAGCAGCCATGAGCACTGAGGCCCAGAGGGCACAATCAATCTTTCTTTCTCTCTTTGTTGTTTTTTCTGTTTGTTTGTTTGGGGGTTTTTGGTCATAGGGCTTGAACTCGGGTCCTGGGTGCTGTTTTCTCTCTCTCTCTCTCTCTCTCTCTCCTGGCCTTGTGTACACTGGACATTCTACCAATGAGCTACACCTCATCCCCTGAGTGGTGGTTATCTATGAATAAGTTCCAGTGGAAAAAGCAAGTCAGAAAAGCTGCCTCATCCACACAGGCCACATTCCCAGTGTTTCCTCCTGTTCTAGGCCCCAGGCCCCAGCTCCAAGTATTCCACTTGCCAGGTCTAGCCCCCAGCTCCAGTACACCAAATATGCTGAGATGCATAGTGATGAAGAACAAGATAAGCATACCTCAGGAAGAGGCAAAGTAAGAATGCCAGCCCAGCTTTGGGTACAAACATAAGCTACAGATTCTAATCAAGTAAGAATTGAGGCAAGGTGAGAGGAATGCACAACTATTAAGCTGAACTAGTCACAGGTGGTCAGAGATTGGTCTGGTTTGTCACTTCAGGATGATCAGGTGGGGCCTGATTGCCATGAGAAAGTCAAAGTCACAGCTGCCTTGCAGGGGGTCAGCATCGACTTTTGTCACGAGGTGTTATCCATCAGTCCTGACCTTCCTGGGTTTCAAGGTGGCTGCAAGGTGACTCCAGAGGCAATGGCTCAGAGCAAGGACTGAGATCAAAATGGAGACAGGGAAGACAAGCTTTCCCTCCTGCTTTCTGTGACCCTCTTGGAGGGCCATATCTGCAGGCCCAAGTGAGGAATGAGTGCTTTTAGGCAAAGGCGAGTCTAAGTACCTGCTAGATGCCGGAAAAGGGTGGAAGCAGCCAAGATCCTGGAAGCCTCCTGGCCTGAAGTATGCTAAAGTGAATGTGTGCACAATGTGTCACCTAGATCAGCCCTCAGGGACTGATTAGAGGGATGTGACTCACTTAGGGTGGTAGAAATCTGAACTAGAATTCAGACCTCTTGACTTCTGATTCAGTACTCACCAGAAACCACAGAGATAGGACCTCCAGAGTTCCTCTAGCTTTAGGCTAGCCCTCACAGAAGTCTCCTTACCATCCTGGATCTGACCAAGATGGAGTTGTAACTATCTCTTCTTTGGCCTGCCCAAGAACCCTTCTCAGAGACCCTCACCATTGTTCCATTGACTCTAGAGCACAAGTCAAATAAACAGCTTGTGTCTGGTCATTCTGAACTTGACCTCTAACCCCTACCAACCCCCACAGACCTTATCCTGTTTTTCTCCAAGTTCCTTGTCTACATTTATTTACTTTGATGGCTTTTTTTTGGTCAGTTGTAGGACTTGAACTCAAGGCCTGGGCACTGTCCTTGAGCTTTTTGCTCAAGGCTAGTGCCTTAATTCTGGTGATTAATTGGGAATAAGAGTCTTATAGACTTTCCTGCCCAGGCTAGCTTTGAACTTCGATCCTCAGATCTCAGGCTTCTGAAGTAACCAGGATTACAGGCGTGATTCACCAGCACCTGGCTTTGATGACTTTTAATTCCCCTGCCTAATATTAAAAGAATTTCATGTAGTCTATACAAGGTTAAAGGAGTCATTTTCTGCATTATCCAACGTTCAACTTTAGGCCTAGACTATCTTGATCATAAAGTGAGTATGGTAGGCAGCACAATGCCTCTCCCAAAAAAGCTGTCCATGTCAGCTAGGTGCTAGTGACTCATGCCTGTGATCCTAGCTACTCAGCAATGTGAGATCTGAGGATCATGGTTTAGGCAGGCAAGTCTGTGAGGCGCTTATCTTCAGTTAACTACCAAAGGCCAGAAGTGAAGCTGTGGCTCAAGTGGTAGAATGCTAACCTTAAGCAAAAAAGGTAAAGGAAAGCACCCAGGCCCTGAGTTCAAGCCCCAATACCAGCACACACACACACAAAAATTATACATGTAGGGCTGGGAAGGTGGCTCAGTGGTAGAGTGCTTGCCTTGCATGCATGAGGCCCTGGGTTTGATTCAGCACCACATAAGCAGTAAAAGCCAGAAGTGGCACTGTAGCTCTAGTGGTAGAGTGCTAGCCTTGAGCTGAAGAGCTGAGGGACAGCGCCCAGGCCCAGAATTCAAGCCCCATGACCAACAACAACAACAAAAAATTATAATAGTCCTGTGAATATGTGAAATCACATGACAAAGGGAAAGTAGGGCTATGGGTGGAAAATAAACTACCACTCCATGGACCTTGGGAAAAATGTGCTGGATTATCCATGGGGGTAGGGGGGAAGGGAGAAAGACAAAGTAATCACAAGAATCCAAAAGAGAGGAAGAATGATATGATGTAAGAGTTGACCAACTGTTGCTAGATAGATAGGAAAGAGCCAGAGCTGGGGAATTCAAGCAGCCTCAAGAAGCTAAGGAAGCAAGGCGAATGCACTGGCCTCAGGAGCACATTCCCACAGACACCTTGATTCTATTCTGCCCATCAAGATGTGAGCCAGACTCCTCTTGTTCGGAACTCTAAGATAATAAATTTGTTTTGTTCTAAGCCTAATTAGCCTGTGATGATTTGTTATATAAGCAATAGAAAACTCATATAAAGATCAAATGATCTTACCCTTCTTTGTGCCCCTACACTGGACATCTACCTGACCTCTTAAACCAACATCTTCTGAGTCCCAAATTTCATGTGGGTACTTACCTAGGATTGCCTCAATAGCCAATGTTTAATTCTTCAAATAGCCAGAGCTTATGGATACAAAGTCACTTCTAATTTCTTTTATCCCCTACATGCCAAGTTATAATGGATAACTTTCCAGATTATTCCAGTAAGAACTAGAAAAGAGAAGTCCCTTCCTCATTCATCATGCCTGTCTCCATTGGGGAGCAGCCCCTGCTTTGCCTCTATGGAAAGCCATTTCTGTTTCTCTTCCCCAAACAGGGCGTCTCTGTGATCATACGTGAGACACAGCAGAGATCAAACAAAGAGGGGGCTTATTCTTGCCCTCTTAGTAGAGATGAACGAATGATCTGAGAAATTAATTATATTCCTTGACCCAAAAATCATTCCATCTCAGTTCCCTGAGGCAAAGCCAGTCATGGATGAAGGATGGTGCATATCCCCTGCCAAACTCATCCTTCCAACCAGTTTTTGTTCATTTCCAAAAATGAGTAGTTCATGCCACCTTCCCAGTAGCTTCCCAGGTCCTGGTGGATGAAGTCCAGATTTGGAAGGCAAGGCCCTTGTATGGGTTCAGTTTCCTTTCCAATTTCATCACCTCCAAAATCTCATAGCTTACTATCATACTACACCGCTTTCAGTTCTCCACTTCTAGGGCTTTGCTTAAATTAATACACCTATAGAATTCAAATGTTCTCTCCTCTCACCCTAATCCTCAAGCAATGAAAATGTTCCCTTTCCTCGAAATTTAACTTAACTGTTGTCTCCTTCAGAAAGCCTTCCTTAACTTTCTATCTGAGGACTTTATTAGTCCCTTAGCTGTGCATTCTCTTAAGAATTTGCACTCCAGGGATGTGGACATCTGAGCAGTAACCTGGCTGCAGGGTCTCCACAGTCTGGGACTGGCCACTTCCCTGCCACATCTGCAACTTGAGATGGACATTTAATGGCAGAAGCCAGCACCTGTTCTGTCACTGCTTGAAAGGGAAACCTGATCTGGCAATTCCAGACTTTTCTCTGCCTCTCATCAGAGAAATTCTGATCAGTGTTTTGGGCCTCTCCACTTCAGGCCCTCCCAAAGTCTGCCTGTTCCCTTCAATCCATACACTTTCGGGTTCTTTCTCAATAGATTAGATTTGTATTGCCCACTAAACCTAAAGTTTCATCATTAGCAACAGGATTGCTAGCACCTTTCTAGAAAGAAAGAACCATTTAAGCTTCAAACACTCTCCAGGTGAGAACTATTTCCAGCCCATTCTTTTCGCACCGTTGGAAAAGCAACAAAAATGGAAACGGATCTATCTCCAAGTCAGCCAGTAATGAGGACGGGTGCAGCAAGTACTGGGTCAAGGATTTTTGCAAGCTGCCCGCTTCCCCTCGGGGCTGTCCAAGCAGGAGTTGGGACTTGGGCTGAGCCGCTTAGCCCCAAGCCCCGCAGGGAACGCGGTGGGAAGACTACAAGTCCCAGGCTGCCTCGCGGTGACTGGCAAAAGAACTACAAGTCCCAGGCGGCCTCACGGCGGCAGCTAGAAGACGTGGCATTGCGCTGCGCCCGCGCCGACCGGAAAAACGGGAGGTGGCCGGGCGGAGGGCTGAAGCCATGGCAGCCACAGCGGCAGGTGGAGGGCGCTGGGAAGTGGTGAAGAAGAGCCGGCGGCCTAGGGCCGGCGGCGGTGGTCGAGGTGGCGGCGGGGACCGTCGGGCCCTCGGGGAGGCGAACGGAGTGTGGAAGTACGACCTGACCCGTGAGTACCGGCCGCCGCCCACCTGGGCCTGCGGGGCGGGACGGGCGTGGCGAGCAGCTCGCGATCCCGGTGCTCGCCTGGCCCCGCGAGGGCCTGCGTCTGCCGGCAGATTCCCCCGGCCACCTGGCAAATGGCGCACGGGGAGTGGCCGTCCTCTCCGCACACAAGGGTGGACTGAGCCCCAGCGAGGCGGACTCCTGGCCCAGGGTCGCGTGTCGGAGTGGACTGGGACTCAGGCTCCAGCTGCACGCCACCCTCCCAGCTGTCCGGGCCCTCGCCGGTCCCCGGGCTGAGCATCGGGCGGAGGCATGGTTTCTGGATCCTACACCACGCCTCTCAAGTAGCCCGCAGGCCGGGCCGGGACGGACAGTAACCCAGCGAAAGAACACACTCAGCACCCACCAGGAGTTAGTCCCAGTTGGCATATGTGCCCTCGGTGTCCCGAGGAGTGGAGAAAGTTTGCTACTTGTTGATTATAGGGTTGTCATGTGGGAATCAGGAGGAAATGGGGTGGAAATGGGGTGGAAAGCCTGCCCTCCCACACTAGCAGCCAGGCGCCAAAGAAGCCAGGTTTCTGTATCAGCGCCTCTGCGGATTCCCATACACTCTGAAATCTCTGATTTCAAAAAGAGAGGGAGAGTGGGGAAAACCCCACGAAACAACTTGTCCAGTCTGCAAGAGCCAGACTGTGGTGACTGAAAACAGCCACCAGGTGGCCACGGTGCTCCCGAGCAGCCCCCAAGCGAGAAGATGCCTTGACTTTTCTCCAGGCAGATGAATTATGTGCTGTTAGAGAAGGGGCCACTGTCCTTGCCAAGCTCTGGTGACTTCAGCTTTTCCTGTCACCCCCCTTTCTCTGTCTTCACCCCAGCTCCAATCCAGACCACCAGCACCCTTTACGAGCGAGGCTTTGAGAAAATCATGAAGCGGCAGAATAAGGAACAGGTTCCACCCCCTGCTGTGGAGCCTAAGAAACCAGCCAACAAGAAGCAGCCAAAGAAGGTGGCAACTCTGAACAACCAGAACCAGAAGCAGGGCCCCTTCCGTAGCCTGGAGGAGGCAATGAAAGCTGTGAGTGTTCCTAGACTCCAGGCATGGAAGGATCTGAAATTTGGGTACAGAGAAGGTGGGGGTGGGAAGTCAGGCAGGGGTGGGACCTGTGGGGTTTTGAACACTGAGTTGAGAGTGGCTCAGAAAAAGAAAGGCCAAGGGAACAAGAATGTTTGCACTTCAGATAGAAAACAAATGGGAAGTTTATATGGAAACACAGATGAATGAGAAGAAATTCTTGGAGGCACTAGGAAGGGGACAGGAAAGCTGGCTGTGGTTCCCTTTCTCACTGAAGCAGTGATCTTTCACATCCCATCTTGTCCTCTGGCTTTTTCCCCCTTGAACATGTGAAAGGCCTACCAGGAAGTTGAGATTAGCCTACTCAGCTGCACTGCCCCATACTTTCTCAAGATCTGGATGCAGCAGAACTGTGGCATTCAACATACCTCGGCTTAAGAACAGAAACCTGTGGTCCTTCCCACCCCCTCCATTCAGCCCCTTTCCCCAACCTCCCTCACTTCCCTTCCCCTCACTTATAACCCACCATTGAAGTATGTGTCCTTGGCAGCTAGATGTGGCAGCTCTGCAGAAGGAATTGGACAAGAGCCAGAGTGTGTTCACTGGGAACCCCTCCATATGGCTGAAGGACCTAGCCAGCTATCTCAACTACAAGCTCCAGGCCCCACGTAACGAGCCCACCCTGAGCCAGCACACACATGGTTAGTCACCCAACCTCTCTGCTCAGACAGGATCAAGGAAATTCTGAATGGGCTGTGCATTTTTAACAGCCCAGTGCCCCCCACCTGGTTTATGTGTGGCTATGTAAGTTGGCTGGGCCTTCTTGGGAGAGGGAGGATGTTAGCCTCAGCACAGGGACCTCTGCTTCCACTCAGGAGGCAGTGTTCTGAAGCTACCAGGGTCCCAAGCACTTATATAGAGCCCAACGGGCACCAGATTATCCCTACAGCCTGGTGAGCCCGGAGCTGCGTGGGATCATCCGAGGGCTCCTGACGAAGGCGGCAGGGTCTCTGGAGCTCTTTTTTGACCACTGTTTGTTCACCATGCTGCAAGAGCTGGATAAAACACCAGGTGAGGGGGAGACCTGTGAGCCGTAACCATCTGGTAGCCTGTTCCTTTTCTTCTGTATCCAACAGAGAAATGTACTAATTTTCACAGTCTTCTTGGACAGGGAGGAGGTTAGAACTCCTTGAGCTTGAGTGCTAGGATCACAACTATGAGAACAAGGAGATCGCCACAAATGGCAAGTAAGTCTGAGAACATGTGTCTCTTCAGGGGAGTCACTACATGGATACCGCATCTGTATCCAGGCCATTCTGCAGGATAGGCCCAAGATTGCCACCGCAAACCTGGCCAAGGTGAGCCCTGGGTGGGGATGTCAGGGCCAGAACTGGGGAGTCTGGGCAGAATCTGTAGACCTGGCTCCTTTGTGTGATGGTGAAAGACCCTGCAGCACAGGAATAACACAAGCTGGCCAGCACGTAATGTGTACCTGCTGGGAATATGCACGAGGCAGGTACTGCCATGACCCATACTTTATTGGTGGGATTGGAGAGAGACTGAGTGACTTTTTGGGGGTTGGTAAGCCAGTCCATGGCAGAAGCTGTGGGTGGGTGAGCTGTGCTCTGAAGCACTGCACTACACTGCCATAGCACACCATGTCACTCAGCGCTCCCTGCGCTCCCAGGTAACATCCCTCTTCCCATGGGGCAGGCTCTAGGGTATTTCTGATGCTATCTCAACCTGTCCTCCCCAACCAGTTCCTGGAATTGCTAAGATCCCACCAGAGCCGACCAACCAAATGCCTGACCATCATGTGGGCCATGGGGCAAGCAGGTTTTTCCAGTCTCACCGAGGGACTGAAAGGTAACAGAGAAGTAGGGCCAGAAGAGCTGGTCACTCGGTGTTTCCTGTGTATCAGCCTAAGGCTTCCTCTCTGACCTTTGTCTTGTCAGTGTGGCTGGGGATCATGCTGCCTGTGCTAGGAATCAAGTCTCTGTCTCCCTTTGCTATTGCGTACCTGGATCGCCTGTTCCTGTAAGTATGGGGAACAGTGAGGGAAGACCCAGGGTTTCCATAGAAGGCTGTTACAGCAGAATGGGATGTTATGAGCCTGGTCTCCCTCCATGGATGCGAGCTTCTCTCACCTCTGAGTGTGACGATGAGGAAGGAAAGAGAGCCATTAAGGACTAAGGGATAGGGTAGCATTTATGCCCTTTTTCTTAATGTTGGCTTAGCTGGGATCATGATTTAAAACAAAAACAAAAAACTTTTTTTCCTATCCCACAGGATGCACCCCAATCTTACCAAGGGCTTTGGCGTGATTGGCCCCAAGGATCTCTTCCCACTGTTGGACTTTGCCTATATGCCCAACAACTCCCTAACGCCCAGGTAGGGCTGCTCTAGGGGACACATGCGAGGAAAAGATCTCAGTGCAAGGTCAGGCCCAGGAATTTTATCCCCCTCCCTTCTGTTCCAGACACACTAGCTCTGAGAGTCACAACCTGGGAAGTTAAAGAATAGGAAGCTTGGGGCTGGGAAGGTGGCTCAGTGGTAGAGCACTTGCCTTGCATGCATGAGGCCCTGGGTTCGATTCCTCAGCACCACATAAGCAGGGGAAAAAAAGCCGGAAGTGGCATTGTAGCTCAAGTGGTAGAGCTCTAGCCTTGAGCTGAAGAGCTGAGGGACAGCGCCCAGGCCCAGAGTTCAGGCCCCACGACTGGACCAAAAAAAGAATGGGAAGCTTAGCCAGGCACTGGTAGTTCACGCCTGTAATCCTTGCTACTGAGGAGGCTGAGATCTGAGGATCACAGTTCAAAGCCAGTCTGGGCAGAAAGTCTGTGCAACTATTATCTCCAGCTAACTACCAGAAAACCAGAAATGGAGCTGTGGTTCAAAGTGGTAGAATATTAGCCTTAAGCAGAAAAGCCTAGGGACAGTGCCTGGGCCCTGAGTTCAAGCCCATGACTGACTAAAAAGAGAAAAAGAAGAAAATGGGAAGGAAGTAGAGCTGTGGCTCAAGTGGTAAAGTACTAGCCTTGGACAAAAGAGCTCAAGGATAGCACCCAGGCCCTTAGTTCAATCCCCATGAACAACAAAGACAAAATTAAAAAAAAAAAATGGGAAGCTTCAAGGGACTGGTGAACCCCTGAAATTGTATGGGCCCATCAGTGATTGGCATATGGTATTTTCTTAGGGAAAGGGTATATGGCTTTCTACGGGTTTTCCAGAGTCTGAGTAAAAAGAATTAGAGCCCTTACAAGGCCCTCAGTGATAGCTCCTCTACCAGGGTATCAGGGTATAGTCTCCCAAGCAGGCAAAACGGTCTCATGGCACAGCTCACCAGAGCCTGGCCCTTCTTACCTCCCTAGCCTGCAGGAGCAGCTGTGTCAGCTCTACCCCCGACTGAAGGTGCTAGCATTTGGAGCAAAGCCGGAATCTACCCTGCACACCTACTTCCCTTCTTTCCTGTCCAGAGCCACCCCTAGCTGTCCGGCTGGGATGAAGAAAGAGGTAAAGAATTGGTGGAGGCTTCTTTTCCTTGGCCGATCAGCTGTGGTGGGCCCTGCTTGCTGGCCAGGGTCCTGCCCATTTCCCTGGCATTTCTGCAAGGTGCTCTTGCAGCCGCCTTCCCTGCACCCTGTGCTCTGCCCTCACAAGCCTGGGTCTGGAAAGGCAGTGTATCAGGTGTGTGGGATCTCTGATGCTTTGTCATTTATGGATGCATGATTTTTGAGCCCTAGTCCGATGCCCCCTTGACAGTCTCAAAACTGTGAGTCCTGACACTATTTCTGCACTCTCTGGGTGGGTGTGTTACATAATGACCTCTCAGCACTCTTCCTCCACCAACCTGAGCCCCCAGCACATTCCACTCTCTCTTCTGTCCACCTGTGCAGCTTCTGAGCAGCCTGACCCAATGCCTGACTGTGGACCCCCTCAGCACCAGCGTCTGGAGGCAGCTGTACCCCAAGCACCTGTCACAGTCCAGGCATGTGGGGGTGGGGTTGCTTGCTTCTGACCCACATAGAAAAACTCCAGTTCGTGTTTCCATCCTGAGGCTGGCCTGGCCCTGTCCTGGAAGCAGAAGGGCAACACTGGTCATTGTTCTAGAGGCTCATGCTTCAACTTAAGTGGGAACTTTACCCTTGAGAGCTGCTTGGCAGTTTGGGGCAGTGGGACCGGCTTTCAGCCTGCAAGAGCCTCATAAACAGCAAGAAGGCCAGAGTGGGCTGCCTGACTAAAGGGCTGTGCTTTCTTCACCCACAGCCTGCTGCTGGAGCACCTGCTGAGGACCTGGGAGCAGATCCCCAAGAAGGTAAGGGCCTGGAAGGATGGGAGGCTGAGCCTCTTCTGGTGTCTGGGTTCCCTTTTGCCACTGCCCTACCTTTGCTGTGAACCTGGCATGGAACGTGAAATCGGGTAGAAGCAGGAGTCTCTCCCAGTCCAGATTTCCTATTCACAACCTAATGTGCTATTCTATAGGTGCGCAAGTCTTTGCAAGAAACCATTCAGTCCTTCAAGCTGACCAACCAGGAGCTGCTAAATAAGGGCAACCCGCATGCCGTCACCTGTGAAGCGGCCTGCAAGGTGCAGCATGTCTTGGCACACCCCAGGTTGGGTCTGGCTCAACCCCCATTACCTTATGTCTGATGTGTGGGCCTGACTCTCATCCTCAAGGCCTGGCTTGGGGTCTGAAGCAGGAAGCAAGGACCAGCCCTCTCCCCTCTAACCACTGTTTCTTCCCCCTGTCCTCCAGGGCTTGTTAGAGCAGGCACGGGGCCCTCAGCCGCCCTGGACCCGGCTGCTCCTGCTGCTGCTGGTCTTTGCTGTAGGTTTGCTGTGCCATGACTTGTGGTCACACAGGTCTTTCCAGGGTAAGCAGTGACTGGCAGAGCACACAGTGGTGGCCCACACAGCTAGACGTGGCACCCCGCACTCACTGCCCTGCAAAGCTCTCAACACTTCAGGGGGAAAAAACTTTGATGGATTTTTCTATCTGTAGACATAACATTTCCATCACTTTGGCTGGTACCGTGCACCATGGAAGTGGTAACACATTTATGCGCCTGGCTCTGCTCATACAACTTAGGAGGCTAAGATCTGAAGTTCCTGGTTTGAAGCCAGCCCAGGCAGAGAGAGAGAGAGACACACACACACGCACACGCACACACACACACACACACACACACGGTTGCATATTTATAACATCATCTGAGTGGGTGTTATGTCCTTTAAACTCCAGAGGAAATTGAAGATTTAAAATAGCTTAGTATTAGAGCTAGTAAATGGAAGAGCAGACTTTCAGACCTGAGGCTTTCTAAGTTGTATGGTTTGGGTCCAATTTGCTGTCCTGTTCCTCCTGATTACCTGGCACAGCCCTGCAGGCCTGTGTGCTGTCCTCTGAGCCTGTTCCAGTCAGCCTGGAGCTGGCCCTGCAACCTGAGAACTCAATGGTGTCTCCCCAAGTCCCTGCCCCCCCCCCTCCCAGCTCACAGAGCTTCTTTACTCAGCCTCCCTCAGCGGTCAGTTGCTTCAGTCGTCTGGTGTCGTGCCTGCTGGCCAGCAAGTGTGTACCAAACTCTACTCCTACAGCCTCCAAGGCTACAGGTGAGCTGCTCCCAGGTAGAGAAGGAGAGCCAGGGTGTGAAAGAGAGAAGGCTTGGGGCTCAGGGTGGGGCTGGTGGACAGGGTGGATGTAGACATCAGGAGGGACTTGTGGTTTTCTTTTCCCTTCCTGTTCCCTTCCCTGGCTATGCTTTGAGAGCCAGGCTAGCCAGAGGAAACTTAGAGCTTGCCCTTCTCCCCTCCACCTCTTCCACAGCTGGCTAGAGGAGACATTGCCGGCCTGCAGCTCCTACCTGCTTACCATGCTTCAGCCCAGCTTGCAGCTAGCCTGGGCTCACACCAATGCCACACTCAGCTTCCTTTCTGCCCATTGTGCTTCTCACCTTTCCTGGTTTGGTGACAGTTTCACTGGTCTCTCCCAGAGGGTAAGCTGGACAGGGTGCCAGTCCTACAAGAGGCAGAGTTCTTGGGAAGGGGCAGTGGTAGGGAGCTGGGGAGAGTCGTTCAGGACCTAGGTTGGCTGCATTGGGTGCTCTGACCAGACATTCCTTGCGGTCCAGCTCCCTGATGTCCTGTACCAGCTGTGCCAGTCTCTGAGGGAGCTGATACTATTCCTCTACCAGAGCGTGCTACTGCCAGTGTGGCATCTACTGCTGTCAGCCCTGGCCCAGGCCCAGGAGCACTGCCACAAGGCGTGCAGGTAGGACCCCGCCACCCCATGGCCCCACTCCCAGCCCCCAGGGATTAGGCAGCCCTGTTGAGTCTGTCACATTTCCCCACCCCTTGTTCACTCTCGGCTACTCGGGGATGAAGGTTGTGGGTCAGCATTGTAGTCCTGTGAGTTGATGCAGCCACACACACATTTCCTGACTTCAAAATGTTCTCCTTCTCTCCCAGAGGTGAGGTGACCTGGGACTGTGTGAAGACACAGGTTGGTGAGGCTGCCCGCTGGACCTGGCTCTTCCTACAGGACATCACAGGGGCTTTCCTGGACTGGGCACTCACCGTGATATCCCAACAATAAGCCCTGTCTCCCTGGCCACTAGTTTCCTTCCTGGGCAGGCCATCTGAGACTACTGCAGCACAGAGGGTGGCGGCTCTTTATTGGTGCCCGAGTCCCATCTCCTAGGCAAGGGGCCAGTTTCCTCTGCCCCAGCTGTCTCATCTTCAGGGGTCCAGGCCACGGGTCTGCAGCCCCTTGCCCTCAGGACCACTGGACACCTAGGGACCTGGTTGCACAGGTCTCAGCCTCCTCTCAGCTGCTCTCCTGACCTTCCTTTCCACTTCCATCTAAATCCTAATGCTCCAACAGCTCATCTCCAAAGATGGGGCTCCTGGCGAGTTCAGCGGCCTCCTCTTGGTCACAACATTAGCTACAGTGACAAAGGGCAAAGACCTCAGAAGGATTCTGTACCACCATGGGCAGCAGCAGCTACACCTCTTCCCAGCTACCTTGGTGGACATGGGGGAATGCCTGTCACCTCAGAACGCCCAGAATAAGCCCTCTGAGGCCCCTCACCATCTCCTCCAGTTGTGTCCTCCTTCCTCAGCCCTGCCCCCTCTCAGTGCTGAGGACTCTGCCTTGGCTTAGCATCTCCACTGCCCAGCCCACTCTCAGCCGGGAGCCAGAGAACCTTCCACCAGCCTGCTGACAAGGGAGTCAGCATAGGGCTCCCAGGGGTGCCTACCAGGTGGAATAAAGGACACATTGGATTTCTAGCTTTCCTGTCCACATCCACGTACAGATTTCCCAAATATATGGGGCAGAACAACAAAGTAGCCAGCCTCTGCCTGGGGTCTTGTGGCTACCGGCTATATCGATGTCAGGGAAAGCCTGCATCCATCATTCAAAACTTGCTCCACTACTTTTATCGTCTGACTAGTCATGGTGATTCCTGTCCCTTAATTTGCTTCCATAGCCTGCGTGTTTATGACTAGAAATGTGAGGTGTGGGAGTGGCGGGGGTCTTCTAGTCCTGTGCCTGCCAAGACCTTCATTGATTGATTTTGTAAGGCAGTGGGTGAAAGATTTAAAACTCCAAAGACAGGACAGGATTTGGTTCCAAACAAAGCCGAAGCTGCCATTTCAGTTACCCCCCAACACACACCAGTTTCCGCAAATGGTCCCCTAAGAAATTCCCGGCTTCGGGGCTGGGAAGTTGGCTCAGTGGTAGAGCGCTTGCCTTGCATGCATGAGGCCCTGGGTTCGATTCCTCAGCACCACATAAGCAAAAGGAAAAAAGCCAGAAGTGGCGCTGTGGCTCAGGTGGTGAAGCGCTAGCCTTGAGCTGAAGAGCTGAGGGACAGCACCCAGACCCAGAGTTCAGGCCCCACGACCGGACCCCCCCCCAAAAAAAACAACAAATTCCCGGCTTCTCCAGGCAGCAAGAGAGTATAAAATAGCATGTGTAAAAACATCTCAACCCAAGGGAAGTTGTGACCACTACAGCATCTCACACTGTATCTCTCATAAGTAAACCACTTTCATTCTGCAGACCCTTTCTCATCTAGTGGCAGGTAACTGATTATTTTCTTCCCCAGAAGAGGAATCCTGCATGGCAAAGAAAGAGTCAAAGTGTCCCAGGACATGGTTCATTTCTTCTGTTAACTATCAGGCAAAAGGGTTCAGCTCTTCCCTAAGAGTATTGAATAGGTGAGTCTAGGTGGGAAGCAGCATGGGACAGGTAAGACACTTGTCCCAAGAAAAGTCCACAGCAGCAAGGCTGAATTTTTTGGTCCAACAACTGGGAATACCACAGGCTCCTAACAGGAAGTGGATCTGATCTGATCTTGTGTCTGTAATTCCAACACTAGAGTACTTGTGGATAATACTTCCCTTCAGCTTAGGCTCATTGGGATCTCCACAACCTCTTGAGGTAATAAGTTTACCTTAATTGGCTTTTTGAGATAGCATCTCCCAGTGTATCCCAGGCTGGTCTCAAGCCTCAAACTCACTGACCTAAGTGCTGGGACTATAGCATTATCACACCAGGCTCAATAGTTTTGTTGGGTTTTTTTTTTTGACCTAATATTGAGATTGTCCACATTTTTTCCTGTCAGTAGTCCAGCACTGCACCTGCTCTCCATTAAAGCAAAACCAGACATCCAGACGTTGCGTTTTTACATAACTGTCAACAAGTGGAGAATCCAAGCTGAGCTAGTAAATTAAACCAATATGAGCCCCCTGAGTATTCCAGGGTGTGGGATGAGCAACACTAAGTCTGGCCGTGCTACTGAGAATAGAAGGAAGCCATCACCTCAGACGTCTGGAAGCTGTAACTGCTGCTCATACACAGCTGAAGTTCCACACATAAGTTTCGGATGACAGAAGGGCTGATTGAGTATGGGTGCTTACCACAATTCTCATGAAAACCTGAAAATAGATATGCTTTTTCCCTGTGTCAGTACTGGGTACAAGAGCTTAACTGGCCTGGCACACTCTCTTAGCTTTTATGCTCAAGACTGGCACTCAACCACTTGAGCCACACCTCCAGTCCAGCTTTTTCGTGGTTCCTAGAGTCACAAATTTGCCTGTCCAGGCTGGCTTCAGACCTGGGTCTTCTGATCTCAGCCTACTGAGTAGCTAGGATTGCAAGTGTGAGCTACTGCCCAGCTTAATAACTCATTATTGTTATTAAAGTGATGTACAGAGAGGTCCTTCCTAACCTATATTTCCACATGTCAAAGCAAGCCTCCATTTCCTTTACATCTTTGTGTCCCCACTGTCGGTATCAGAGCAGGGCAGTCTGATGGTACTTGGTATATAACAGTATTGCAGGACTTAGCCCTGTGGCATTGCTATCCATGCTCAAAATGCCACCACCCTTAAATACACCGTGTTTATGGTCATAGGCCTGTCCTCTCTACCCTATTACAGAAGGTCCAGTTAGCAATGATAACGTTTGTGTGGTCAGGTAACACTTGAGCATCTTAATGTCTAACTACCCAAAAGAGTTGGGATTTACATGGGTGCTTAAAATGATCTATAAAGTTTAGAGTTTCTGTTCCTACAGGGACACAGGGCCTTGCATTTTTCCCGTGTCGTATTCCGCTTTCACTGGCCATTCTCATTGCCTTACATTTGAAGCATAAGGAATGGAATCTGAAGAGAGGTTCCACCATTCAGGGCATAAGTAGATATTAATAGAACATTGAATATCCTGTGTAAGTAAAAAGGCATTTACTTCCAATGTGTTCTTGGAGGAACATGAGTCTCATTCTTTTACTATGTTAGCACATCAGTTATTACTTTTTAATAGGCTTACTTTTTAGAGCAGTTGCAAGTTCAAGTCAAAATAGAACAAAAGTAGGAGCTTCCACATATTCTACACACACACACACACAACCTCTCCATCAACATTCTTTATTGTAGGACGTGCATGTATTTAGCAAACTTACAGTAACTCAGTTACTACCTAGCATCCATACTTATCAAAGGCTTGCTATTTGTTTCACATACGACTGATCAGGAGTTGCCTAGTGACATGCACCCACCACTCTCGAGAAGGGTTTCTCTGTCCTAGATTCCCTCCTGCCAGTGCCATGGGCAGCTACTAGTCTTTTTGCTGTTTCTGGACTTCTGTCTTTCTCACAGTGCCCTGGCATTGATCACTTTTTTAAAATTTTGTTTGTGCATGTGTTTGTATGCATATGTGTGCTGGTTCTGGGATTTGAATGTAGGGCCTGGGTGCTGACCCTGAGCTTTCTTGCTCAAGGCTGGAGCTCTACTACTTGAATCACAGCTCCACCCCCTGACTTTCTGGTGGTTAATAAGAGATAGGGGGGTCGCATGAACTTGCTTGTTCAGGCTGGCTTCAAACTGCCATCCTTGGATCTCAGCCTCCTGAATAGCTAGGATGACAAGTATGAGCCGCTAACACACAGCTACACCATGTATTTTGAGGTGCATCTTTTCAACCACAGAATAGGTTCTAAACATGAGAGCTGAGAGAACTTCAGATGAGGTGAAATTAGAACAGAATTCAGAAGCCATATTGGAATTGGAAAGCATAACTGAAAAAAAAATTTTTTTGCCAGTCCTGCGGCTTGAATTCAGGGCCTGGGCTCTGTCCCTAAGCCTTTCTGTGCTTTAAGGCTAGCACTCTACCATTTGAGCCACAGCACCACTTCTGGCTTTTCTGTTTATATGGTACTGATGAATCGAACCCAGGAACCCAGGGCTTCATACATGCTAGGCCAGCACTCTACCACTAAACCACATTTCCAGCCCTGAAGGTTTTTTTTTTTCTTTTTTCTTTTTGTTGGTTGTGGGGCTTCAGATCTGGGCCTGGGCGCTGTCCCTCAGCTCTTCAGCTAAAGGCTAATGCTCTACCACTTGAGCCACAGTGCCACTTCCAGTTTTTCTGGAGGTATATTGGAGACAGGAGTTTCACTTTCCTGCCCGGGCTAGCTTTGAACCAAGATCCTCAGATCTCAGCCTCCTGAAAAGCTAGGATTACAGGTGTGAGCCACTGGCACCTGGCTCTTGAAAACTTCTTAAGTGATCATTTTCCATCTCCATGTTAGACCACATACTTCATGCTTTCTGGAATCACGTTAGACCACATAGTCCTGCTTGCTGGGCGGGCCACAGCCACTTCTCTTGGTGCTCTGTTATCTGCCCACTGTGGGGGACCTGTGGCATGAGGGTCTTTACCCAGAGACACAATGCGCTTGTGCGAGGATCTGTCAGCGCTAAAATGGAGTCAAAATTTTGACATAGGAATATTTTTGAAGGAAAGCAATGTGGTTTACTCTTGGCCATGGGGGCACTAGGAGTAAAGCTATGGGAGAAAAGTTTTGTCTCCACATTTGGTGAGAAGAGCCCCTAGAAGCTTCTGGCTAGAGAGACACTCACTGACCATCACTGAAGCTGGTGGTTCTGAAGTGCCTGGGGGGGGGGGGTGTAGCTGGGTGGGTCTGCTGTCCCCGCAGCCTCCTGGGGCAGTCTAATCTACTGGCTCACACAGTGTGCTCCAGGACTCTCGAGAGCCTTAAGACCTGTTGGGGACTTCTGAGAATTCAGAATTGTTTCGTAATAATTCTGAGATGTCATTTGCTTTTGTTACTGGGTTGACATGGACACACCTTAGAAATCTAGCATAAAAGGAAGTAGAATTGCTAGTTCCTGAGCATGGTCAAACACTGGTATTCAAGTCCACACCAGCTATGTTGTCACTATATTCTTCCTGTTATGTCTCCACCAGAGGTGGTTATCTGGAAAGGGTATCAAAATACTGTTTTCCTTTCCAACTACTTATCTGTGTGAAACCAGACTTGCTTCTAAATCCTCAACTAATGAAATCAATAACAGATTCAAGGGGGCTGGGAAGGTGGCTCAATGGTAGAGTGCTTGCCTTGCATGCATGAGGCCCTGGGTTTGATTCCTCAGCACCACATAAGCAGAGAAAGCCAGAGGTGGCGCTGTAGCCCAAGTGATAGAGCACTAGCCTTGAGCTGAAGAGCTGAGAAACAGAGACAGGCCTAGAGTTCTAAATAAATAAATAAGTAACTGATTCAATACAGAAGATATATTGTTTTCAGTGAGATCAGAAATTCTTTTTTTTTTTTGGGGGGGGGGTCCGGTCGTGGGGCCTGAACTCTGGGCCTGGGTGCTGTTCCTCACCACTAGAGCCACAGCGCCGCTTCCGGCTTTTTTCTTTTTGCTCATGTGGTGCTGAGCAATCGAGCCCAGGGCCTCATGCATGCAAGGCAAGCGCT